CACCGCCGCGCCTCCACTCCGAAGTACCCGCCGGCAGTCAAGGCCATGCCGGCGTGTCGACCATCGGGTCTCTCATATCACCGTTGACGGAACACCAGCGGCAAAAGGACCTCAGTACTTCGGCGCATGCATGTTTGCCTGCATCATGTCGTTTCAGTTCCGCAGCCTTTCTTGCTTGATTTGACCTTGCTGTGTGTTCAGTTGCCATGCAGTTGTCAGTCGAGTTTGTGAACAACCTGGTGGCGGTACTAAATGTCCTGGCATCCCAAGTAGCGACAGCTCTGGACACCCTGAACTTTGCCCTGATGACCGAGCGAAGCCATCAGTCGGACACTAGAGTGTCTCCCAGGGCACCACGGAACTCCAGGCACGGGCTGCGCCCTCGCATCATCACAGAGCGCATTTCGTCTGATCGATCCCGCTCGCCTACTCGAATTCGAACCCGACCTCTGGACACTTCATCCACCTGGTATATACCGGCCTTATCCCCGCCTCGTGCGGCACATCGGGATGCCGCTGACAGCAATTCTGGTCGTCGTCCTGAGTCGATGTTGGATCGCCTGCCACCACCACGGCCTCTTGCTCCCCAGCCCCCACACAGCGGACGCGAACCAGGACAGACAACGCCTACGACACCTGACTCGGATTCTGATGGTTCAGTCCGTCCACATCCAGGTGCATCGTCGTTCCGCCCGTCTCCTACGGTGGTTCATGGACCTCGGGAACTTCTACAAGAATTCACCATTGCCCTTCGCAATGCGCACCTTGAACCTTTCACGGCATGGACACAGGGTGAGCTGGATGAGATGGTTCGACGGAAGAAAGACAAGGATTCCAGGCCCACCTACAAAACCATTGCTCGGTTCCTTCACTGGAGGACTAACTCGCAGGGCGTGGCGGTGCGGTCGGGGAGCGCTGCAGGTTGTTGTGATGGTTGGGATTGTAGTCATGGCTGATCACATGAATTTTGCTTGCTTGCACTTGCCTGACATTTTGACCGGTGAAATACTGTTTGCTGTTGTGGGTGTTGCTGCTGACTTGGACTGAATGCATGGCTGAGCTGCTCAAATCATGTCGGAACAAGACGTGCAGACATACATTACTTGGACCCATGGAGCGCAGCCGACGTGGTTACAGTTTCACGGACCTGGTACCTTGCTTGACAGACCAACCCGGCAGACTACGTCACCTCCGCCCCCACCAAGATTTCCAATACTTCTTCCACCTCCGCCTCCCCCACCGCCACCACCACCGGTGATTCTACACCCACAGTTTATGCCCTCAGTGCGTACTCCCTCGAACTCAGCTCCTCGAGGACAATCCTGCCCTGCCACATCGAAATCGCAGCGCACACGCCGCTCGATTTACAGCACTGACCATTCCCGTGATGATAATCTACGCAGTCCTGGGCCTTCCTCGAAACGCTCTCGAACAGCATCCGCTTCTGCACCGCGGAGATCTCGGCGACCCTTCACCGTGTTTCCCTCCAAACGAGCCACCCGTCCATCGCTGTCCCCATCGGCAAATTGCAAGCATTACTGTCATGCCTTCCTACGCCATGGTCGGAAATGTCTTTCTCCATGTGCTCGTAGACGACCAGGACATTATCATTGCAGGTGTGTACGGCATCAGCGGCGGTGAAGCATAGGTGTCGTATATTACAAACCCTGCTGCTGTGTCTCACTTTCAGTTTGAAAAGTTGCCTTGCATTGCCTCGGTTAACACTCTAGCTGTGTGTGGTTGTCATTGCTTTAGTGTCTTCGCCGCAGACTTTCGAGCGCGTTCAGCCACAACCTGTCTTGCCGCTATGAATCCTCACTATTTCGAGTACCAGATCGTGAGAGGAGTGGAATGGATTCGGATTTACACACCGGGCACGTGGCGGCCCGTTCCCAATGATGCTATAGTGCACGCCCCAATCTACGCTTCCACGTATCGGGAGTGGCGCAGGTCATATCGCTTCCAAGTGTACTGGTCAGAAGATAGCACCGGAGGAACAACAGTGGACCCCATCATCACGCCCAGTTCGTATGTGTCCTACCACGTCTGGGAGTACCGCGACTGGCAAACACGAGGGTATCAACGTCTTGGAGCTCCTGTACCAGCCATTGGATCTGCGACGCTCGTGAATGCAGACGCTAATTCCTCGGTGGACTCATCTGTTCCGGATGGGGCGTGGCGGGAACCTTCACCACCACCATTCTATGATCCTTGGAACGATTCGGAGTGATACTTGGGTAGCATGTCGGATAAAATGACGCGGTTGTCCCTGCGTTGAGTGTGATTCCATGTTGGGTTGTCTTGCTTTGTGTTGTGCGTTCCGTCTCCATGTGTTCGCCGCTTTCCTTTATGACTTCGAGCGGCTTGCCTGGTTGATATGTTCAATTCTACAATGTATGGCGCTGCACGATGGGTCCTGCCACACTACTTTGACTACGACATCGTCAATGGCCCCGCGAACACAAGCGTTGAGTGGATTCGGATCTATGTACCGGGTCCGTGGCATCCAGTCGCCGAAAACACCTTGGGGCCTGCCCCGGAGGACTCAAACACCTATCGGGAGTGGCGCAAAGTATACCACTTCGAAGTGCACCGGCCGAGGGAGAGCACGGGCGGACCAACATGGGTGCTGTTTCTCAGCCGGTCTCTTATGCATCCTTCTATACTTGGCATTATCGGGACTGGGTCACCAGAGGATATCAACGGCTGGGTCATCCACACCCTAGCATTGCGCGTCCAGTTTTCGCTTCGGGCTCACCGGACCTCATGTACGCTGGACTAACCTCTTCGTCAGCATCTTCAAACTCAGATGGTGGCTGATGCTCGTCCTCGTCTTCCTGGGGAGTCTATTCAGTTCAATTCGATTCAGGAGATGGACTTCAACAACTGAGCCGTGCATTGCTGCAAAAGTGATTGCTTGCGTGGTTGTTGTTGTGTCTCTTGCAGTAATTGTTGTCTGCAGCCGTACACCTATCAATCTGTCTTCCCGGGTTTGAATTGTCATGCCGTGGCTGGAATGGTGTCCGGATCCTCAACAACCAGATGCCCAGTGGGTCAAAATCTTTCATCCGGGATCATGGACTCCACATGAAGAACATGATGCTCCACCTCCGCCTCACACATACAGAGAGTGGAAGGAGTTCTATGTCCCAAATCCGGATCAAGACGGTGCGCAGCCCAATGACAGCATGTGGTACAAAAGAGACTGGGCTACAGAGGGCTACCGGAGAGTCGCTGCCCCTCAAGCTGGTCATGACTTTGATTCGATGTCTTTTCCTGATCACCACAACGTGGCCACGCAATCCGCGGCATTGAGTATGTCACCGCAGATGTTGGAAGCGATTCTTAGATCCTCGGATGCGGCGGCTTTCTCCACTGAAGATCTGACTCGTCTCCAAGAGGGGATCTCTCAACAACTGTCAGATCGCGCGCGTCACGCTTCCCACCAACACCAACCAGTACGTGCATCTCGTGGAATTGCACCACCGGAGACTGTTGGGTCTCTGACCCATACCGGCCTGTGAATCCATCAGGCAGCACCACCGCGAAGGTCAAACCTATCTTCGAGCTAAATGATGACTAGACTCACGCGTGTTGGGCAGAGTACAAAAAGGGGTGGTTTTCTTACTTGTACCTTGCTTGGTTGATGCTTGTGCATGGTTGTGCATGGTGCCTGTTTCTTTACTAGCTGGATCTGAACCCGCGATACGCCCTGCCTCTTACTTCGACATGGACATCGAGGATGCGAAGCTGCACCCATGGCTCGAGTACTTGGTCTGGCAGGATCAGGAGTGGGTGCGGATCTATACTCCAGGACAGCCTCAGCGGTGGCACCACGGAGGCACTGTACCTGATCTACCAGACAATTCTTTTCGGGAGTGGCAGCGGGTAACTAATCCCAGTGGGCGTACTGGTGAACACGGTCAGGCATGGACCATTCGCGACTGGCAGCATCAAGGATACCAACGCATTCTGTCTCGAAGTGAGTCCTTCACTACACATCATTCCCATGATCAATCACTTGGAGATGTTCAGAATTCCGATGCCATTCCTGTTGAGGAAACGTTCACCTATGCCACTCCTATTTCTGATGGTGATCGCTCGACTGCTTCGCAATTCGCTTCAGTCCTCTATGGCGACACTCGCAATGCTCATCGTGGTGATCTCTCGTTCCCGTCTTCTGAGCGGTTTAGGGCTGTTTCGCGTTCCCCTCGCCGCGGTGGATATTTTGGTCAACGATAGGAACACGAAGTTGAGCATGTGATCTTCCTGCAGAAAAGGAGACTCCTCGCCCCTCATTGAGGGGCGTGTGTGTGCGGAGTGACAGAATACCCTGTCACCACCTTGGGCCGTTTTCGGAAGCAGGGGGCACGGCAGCTCATTCTCTAGCCGTGCCAACGAAGCTGTGAGAATGAGCCGGAAGGGAGTTTGGACGCAAACTCCTGTACCTGCAAGTGATTCTGAATGTCCTTTTGGCCCCCTTGGTTGCGGCGCTGTTTGTGCTTCTTGTTCTTTCGGGTAACGTGTTCGCTGCTAGACGGAAGCCAAGTGACTGCAAGCCGAACCCACTCGAGACTCATCAGTTGTACTCGAGACTCATCAGTTGTACTCGAGACTCATCAGTTGTACTCGAAAGATTAGCACTCTCCATTTGGAGTTCAAGTGTGTGTGTGTGTGTGTGTGTTTTTTTTTGTGTTTTTGTGTTTTTGTGTTTTTTTGGTGTTTTTGCGTTTTTGTGTTTGTGTTTGTGTTTGTGTCTGTGGGTTGCTACAGAGACCTTACGTTTGGAGCTTGGGGTTGAAGTCAGCCGATCTCTCCGGGAGGTATTCTCCAGAATTTGCCAGCAGTTGCTTCTGGTCCCTGCGGGTTCTTGCCATAGCGGTATTCCTTGGTCATGAGTCTCTGGTTTTCCTCTTGGTACTTTGGAGCCGTCGAACGTCGGCTCCATCGAAGCCACTGGTCACCGACGGTCGCCGGATCTGGCCAGGGCTCGCCCCGAGGCCGCCTGGTGCAGGCCTTTCCGTACTGCATGATCGAGCACCTCAGGGGCCGCAAGGACGTGGTCAAGTTACCCCCCCCATGCCAGCTGAAAAAAGCACATGTCCAGCTGAAAAAAAGCACATCAACAGCCGAGCGCTAAGCCTTCAGAAAACAGGGCCAGAGTCAATCTGGAAGCCGTAGGTTGTGGGAAGCCAAGCCCCTTCATTGTTGAATCGAGACCTTTTGAGGCATTGGCGATGTTTTGATAAAATGCGCAGTCTAAAGTTTATTCGCAAAACAAGATGATGTGCGAGGATCGTTGTCTGTTGCAGGACAAGTCCATGCGAGCCAAGCTGGAGCGTCTGATCGGTCCCAAGGGGGAGCTCGCGTGTGCCTTGGTGCAAGCAACAGAACGGTCCGAGACCTGTGCATGCCCACGGGCGTCTGGGGTTTCCTATGAGAGATCACCCTGGGATGAGTGCTTGAAAGGAAGCAAGAGTAAGCAACCATTTGCAGATATTTACAAAACATGTACGTATATAAACATGTATGCGGAAGCCTTCAGACCTTCCTAGGTCAGCTCCATGCCAAGGGCGCACATCCTCTTTGCCTGGCATGACCATGAGTGAGTTCCCTGCGGAGGGGACGAGCGCTGTTGGCCATCAACACTGGTCTAAAAGGAAAGTTCGGACGAGTGATGAAGGCGCCCCATGGGGACGTGTATCACTTCGTGAAGCGTGGAGGCACGTCACCGGCTGGGAAACGAGGGGCGCCGTCCGAGTGGTGCTTCTCAAGGCCTTCAAGTAGAGATTAGGTCGCGGATGGGGCCAGAGGACGCTTGACCAAAACGAGACGCGGCGCTCTTGCGGTCGGCGATGTGCTCGGACTGCTCGGATGTGCGCAAATGACTCCGGCGCCCTCGTGCTTGCCGGCCTCACTTCCCTGCAGAGCAAAACTTGCGATGCCACTTGAAAGATCCGATTAAGGTCTCATCTTCATAAGGCTTGACACACGGGTCTTCCGGCAGACAGGCGTCACTCGTACTGTCAAGTCAAAATTACCAAGGTCCTCTTCCTTCAGTAGGCCAGGACCTTTGGCCTTGAGCAAGGGCTGACGGAGTGTTCCGCATTCTGCACCGGAGAGGGGTTGATGTGGAAGGCAGCAACGGAACAAGGGCGTTGCTAGCCCTGCTTGCAGCTCGCTCGCTGAAGAGGGACTCATGTGCGCTCTGTGAGACCGCTTGACTGTTCAGCCGCGTGCATCCAACGCACATCGGCATTCAGATGTCGAATGCTCTCACGGTTCTGCGGGTGTCAGTTGCCGCGGGAGGTGACGTCAGTGACCGCGCAATGACATGCAGTCGGTCACCCACAAAATGGCGCAAAACGCCCCTAGACCAACGCGCAGATTGCGTGGGGCAATCGCGTGCCTCGCCTCGCAGCAGTAGCAGCCGCCCCACGGATCCTGATGAGCTAATCGAGATAGTCTAGAAAACCAGCCTGAGTGTTTCCCACATCGTGAAACGCCAAATGAATTGAAGGCGAACCGAGCGACAGGTCACTGAACTGGGGTTCTGCAAATGGCAACGCAGCGGTTAGGCTTGCTGGCTGCGATCGGTCTGAATTGCGACACTGCCGGCCTGGTGATCGGCAAGGCGGTAGTCCTTGCTCCTTGTCGAAGGAGGACTCAGTGAGAAAAGACTGACCCAGCTCTTTATCCACAACAACCGCAGCATTGGTCTGGGTCATGCTCTGAGCGATGCTCTCGCCGCCGAGCTCCGGGGCGAAACGGTGCCTTTCTTCGTTGAATCTGGGCTAGTTGAGAAGCGTCCGCCCCTTCGATTCGCCGTCTTCCGGCCACGGTGGCCAAGCAGCTCCGCCAGTCGGCTGATCGTGGCTTGAGGGATTCCCCATCTTTGGTTCTTCGCTGAGGACCTCGCCAACCGCATCGCTCTGGTCCATTTTGGGAAGCGACTATCCAAAAGCTTCTCTACCCTCCGAAGATCTTCCCAGGTCAGCGCGCCATGTCGAGGGCGCGCTGTTTGTCTTTTGCCAGCGAAACGGATGAGCGCCGCGCACGCATCACACACATATATATATATATATGTATGTGTCTCTACAAGTTTTTATACACACATACATGTACATCTGCAAATATATGACACCGAAGTCGCTTGTTATCCTTCTCGTTGTTTTCCTTGTATGTTGTTTGCAGTTGCTGTTGTTGATGGTGCTGCTTGTTTGTTCGTTTGTTTGTTTGTTTGTTTGTTTGTTTGCTTGCTTGTTTGTTGGTTGGTTGGTTGGTTGGTTGCTTGGTTTGGTTTGGTTTGGTTTGGTTTGGTTTGGTTTGGTTTGGTTTGGTTTGGTTTGGTTTGGTTTGGTTTGGTTTGGTTTGGTTTGCTTGCTTGCTTGTTTGCTTGTTTGTATGGTTGTTTGTTCGTTTGTTTTTGTTTGTCTGTTTGTTTGTTGTGTTTCTTTGCATGTTTGTGTTTTGTTTGTTTGTTTGTTTGTTTTTTGTTTGTTTGTTTGTTTGTTTGTTTGTTAGTTTGTTTGTTTGTTTGTTTGGTTGTTCATCTTGGTTGTGTGGTGTTTTGGTGTTTTGGTTGTTTGTGGTTTGTTTGTTTTTTTGTTTGTTTGTTTGTTTCTTTGTTTGTTTGTTTGTTCGTTTGTTTGTTTGTTTGTTTGTTTGCTGTTTGGTTGTTTTGTTGTTTGCTTGTTTGGTGTTGGTTTTTGCTCGCTTGCTTGCTTTTGCTTGCTTGCTTGCTTTGGTCGATTGCGTGCTTGCTTGCTTGCTTGCTTGCTTGCTTGCTTGCTTGCTTGCTTGCTTGCTTGCTTGCTTGCTTGGGGGGGCGGGGTTGTGTTGGGTTGGGTTGGGTTGGGTTGGTCTGGTTGGTTGGTTGTTTGTGGGTTTTCTGGTGTTGGTTGTGGTCGTTGTGGTCGTTGTGGTCGTTGTTGTCGTTGTCGTTGTTGTCGTTGTTGTCGTTGTTGTCGTTGTCGTTGTCGTTGTCGTTGTCGTTGTTGTTGTTGTTGTTGTTGTTGTTGTTGTTGTTGTTGTTGTTGTTGTTGTTGTTGTTGTTGCAGCTGCTGCTGCTGCTGCTGCTGCTCCTGCTGCTGCTGCGGCTGCTGGTTGCTTGATTGCTTAGTTGCTTGGTTGCTTCTTTGCTTGTTTGTTTGGCTGCTCGGATGCTTGGTTGTGTTTCTGCCTGTCTATTTGTCTGTCCGTCTGCCTGCCTGATGCCTGACTGCTTGTCTGTCTGTCCGTCCGTGTCTGTTTGTTTGTGGCGTCTGTCCGTCTGTCTGTCTGTCTGTTTGTTTGTTTGTTTGCTTGTTTGTTTCTTTCTTTCTTTCTTTCTTTGTTTGTTTGTTTGCTTGTTTGTCGTTCAGCTTGTATGGTTTGTGTGGTTTGCTTGTTGCATGTGCTCGGTCAGTTGTGTTGCGGCCAAATTTGCCTTGTTTTGGGTAGCAGAAATGGACTTCGAGGCTTGACTTAGGTGGGGCTGCTTTTCATGTAGGCGCGCCGGCGTTGCTAGCAATGAATCTTTGGCAGGACCACCGTGGCCTTCTTCGCTTGCCGTTGCTGAGAAACCATCAGGAAGAAAATCTCAGGACGTGGTCCACAGACAGAGGTGTAGATGGGCTGTTTCACAGTTTCAACAGCTTTGGGGACCCGACCAGCTCTCTGCCAAGGGGTCCCAAACCCTACCTGAGGCACCATCCAGTCGGACTTCAGCCTGCCGGTGTCGTCCAACCGGCCACTGTTTCTGGTGAACCAGTGCCTCGGTGGCGTTGCCGCGGAGTAGCTTTGAGGGACGCGGAATGTGAGCTTCTTTGAAGCTTGAGATTTGGCCAAATCAAGGATACTACGTGCCTTGCGGTCTTGCGGTGGGTGGTGCAACAAAAGAATGTCAGGAGTATCCTCGCTCCGACATGGCTTCCACGAGCAGCAACCAGATTGAAGTTTTGCAGCCGTTTTACAGTCGGAGCCCTGCAGTTCTGCGGTTGTGCGCTGCCTTTCCGCCGGTTCCTATTGTTTATAAGCCTCTCCTGATGTTTCAAATGTATGGTGAGATTTATCAGCGCATAGTTGACCCAACAGATCCGTGTAGCAGCTCCTCAGCGACTGAGAGGCTAGCCTCTCGAGGGTGCTGTTCGAAGGGGTAAATATATTTCTGGTTCGCCATGCTAGGTTGTTCTGTTGGCTAGTTGTTTGGTTTGTTGTTTGGTTTGTTGTTTGGTTGGTTGTTTGGTGTGTGGGTTGGTTGCTGGGTGCAGCAGCCACTACGACACATACCCAGAGGATCAAATTCTGGCTGGTCAGGTTGGCGCACACCATCAGAAGCGTGCCCAATGGTGAGACGGTGCAGGCTGGCATCACTCTCCATGACACCAGGGGGGGTGGGGGGTCAAAGGTGCTGGGTGGGTGGGTGGGTGGGTGGGTGGGTGGGTGGGTGGGTGGGTGGGTGGGTGGGTGGGTGGGTGGGTGGGTGGGTGGGTGGGTGGGTGGGTGGGTTGGGTGGGTGGGTGGGTGGGTGGGTGGGTGGGTGGGTGGGTGGGTGGGTGGGTGGGTGGGTGGGTGGGTGGGTGGGTGGGTGGGTGGGTGGGTGGGTGGGTGGGTGGGTGGGTGGGTGGGTGGACGGGCAGGGGAGCCACAATCAAAACCCGGGTAGATGAAGGTTAGTAAGGGACGATCCCACCCATAAATAGCTGCGGCCGCCTTCATAATCCTGTACATGGTTCTGGGTAGACCATTTTAGTACCAGGTTTTGATTGCGACTCAGGGGGCCTTTGGTTGCTCAGGGTCGCCTCGTGGAAGGAACTTTGAAGCTCCAACATTTTCGGGGGATCGGACTTCGCCTGATTTCTATGTACAGTTGTTTCGGGCAGGGGAGCCACAATCAAAACCCGGGTAGATGAAGGTTAGTAAGGGACGATCCCACCCATAAATAGCTGCGGCCGCCTTCATAATCCTGTACATGGTTCTGGGTAGACCATTTTAGTACCAGGTTTTGATTGCGACTCAGGGGGCCTTTGGTTGCTCAGGGTCGCCTCGTGGAAGGAACTTTGAAGCTCCAACATTTTCGGGGGATCGGACTTCGCCTGATTTCTATGTACAGTTGTTTCTTCTTCTTTTTTGTCCGGTTCCTGTTTCAGGTGACCTCGGAATGAAATGAGAGGAGTCGACCAAGGGCATTGTCCGTATCAACAGAAACGTCATATGGATAAGATGCTGACAGGGATCCCGGTAAGACTGCAAGAGTTTAACATGTGGCTCGCTCGTTTTGGTTTGCACCGAAGGCCATTATTCAAGGGGCAGTTGGGGGGGTCAGGACATCGAAAAGGCCAAGTGCTTGCGTGCCGAATGAGCTTTGTCTCACGTTGCAGCGGGAACGTGCTTCTTTTTGGAGGCAACACTGAAGAGCAACGCGGTGTACCGCGGCAGCTGTCCTCTCGAACACATGCTCTGTCATAGCTTTGGCAGGGGCAAGACACAGGGGGCGCCCTGGCAGACCCGAAGTTGGCCCGTTTGTGGGGCGGTCCAGCCTTGCCCAGCCTCTTTGCCGCTTCTCTCTCCATTCACAATCCACAAATCATGCGTTGAGTCCCAACTGCCGCCATTCCAGGCCCCAAGAACCAAAGAAGGTTGTTCCGACCGCGAACACCTGTGATTTGAACCCCTTCGAGCGCTGGGTCGGGCAAGTAGTGGAATGGACCAAAGTGGTACCGTTCGGAACGGAGCTTTTGACATACCTTTTTTCATGGTCCACTGTTAACGCTGGTGTTTTTCCTATTTTGTTTTTGTTCTCTCTCTCTCTCTCTCTCGCTCTCTTGCGCTTTCGCTCTTTTGTTTTTCCCCATCCCTTGATGCAAAAACAGCGGACTCAGCGGAAAAAACAGTCTTTGAGTCCTTGATGGAGCTATACAACAAAGGGACAGCGTGTCCCAACCAGGCCCGTCGACTGGTCTTTGGCCAGCAACCATTTGCTTTGTCAACTATTCACTTGCCTTCCAGGTCTGCGCGTCATCTAATCACGCGCTCCCTCGGTGTATTCCACCAAGTAGGTTGTAGCCATGGTGGCAAGAGTGTGAGCATCACAGTAACCCCAGGCACCATAGCTATAGCTACAAGCCAAAGAGGGCAAGATCACCCAGCTCGATACAAACATGGTAGGTGGCACCTTCAAGCCTGTCGGGTGACTGTAGCGCTTGCAGTCTGCGCAGCTTTGGCGAGCCGCACGCAGCTTTGGGCGCACAGGCCATGTACACGAACCGGGAGCGGTCTTGGCTGATGCAAAACCTGGAGAAGCTGAGAGCGGGGCCCAGAGTCGAGTGGACCCGGCATGACGTGAGCCCGGGGCATGACGTGAGGTCTTAAGCACCCTGAGCTGGCGCAAAAGTCTCCTTTCTAGCATTCCCCAAGACAAGTCTGCAACACACCTGGGAAATGACTCAATGGTGGATGAGCAATATGTACACCTGGTCCCACGAAGCCAACTTGGCTTTCACATGTTCTCTGGCGACCAAGCCAAGCTTGCCTCTGTAAGGAAGCATGGTGAATTGGTTTCGGTATTCACAAATGCAACGTGTTTCGGCACAGGAGGAGGTACTTTAGGGTGTTCACTCACCCTGAAACAGAAGGCTGCGTGTCGGCAGTTAACTGCGGAAGCTTGTTTGCCGGTGAATGTTCATCTGAAGTCTGAAACCAATCAAACAGAGCATCAACTAGCTTTGACTTATGGAATCATTAAGGGGGGTGGGGTAGGTACAAGGGGTGGGCGGGTAGTTGTAGGGTTGTTTGTAGTTTTGCTAGGGTTCCTTCCGGTTCTTTAGGGAATCCCGACCACCGGATTTTCTAAACGACGCATGGCCCGCGGACGCGGACGCAGAAATCTGAGGCTCCACCATCGGCGCCTGCGAGCGCCTGGTTCAGACGCCTGTGCCGTTGAGCTGCCCGGCGCATGCAGATGGCACGGGGTGGTCGCTCACCGACTCGAGTGCCCAAGATAGGAGGAGCCCCCCAGTAAGGGCTTTTTTTGGGCTTATTTGGGCTCCCTCCCCCTCCCCTCTGTGCTTCTTTCTTCAATTATCAACTTTCAAAAGGGGCTCTTGCCGTTTTCCGGTTTTGAAAAGAAGCCGCAAGGAATCTTGAACCGTTACCATGTGCAGCGATCACGACTCGATACGCAGAAGCATGCACCCCCTGAAAACGTGTTTCGATGCAAAAAACATTGTTGCTACAACGGCCGTGATGCACGCACCCATTTAAACGGATCCTCCAAAAATGGTTGAAGGTTGCTCACAGCAATTTGGTAGATATTCTCGCCTTTGCTCAGGGCATTGCTTGTATTAAGAATGTATTGGTTGTCGGAATGACCCAATGACAGCAATAAATCCGCTCTCCGCATGCTCCCAACTTAATATACGAAAGGGAAGGAAGCGATAGCCGTTTGCGGGTCGCAGGTGAGCAGAGTTTGTTTTCAGCATTTTTTCGCTCGAAATGTGATAAAGCGGAGCCCACGGAAAGAAAGGCCAACAAATCCCTTTCAGCCACGGGTTGGGTTGCGTTTGTTTGCACAGGAGGTCTGCGTTTGACTCGCAATGGCTTTGTGAGCAACTGCTCGATGTCCACTGATCATGAAGTTGAAGATGAAGATGATGTGTGTGACCAACCTCTACCAGAGCTGTATTCCGCAACAGCAAGATGTGACTTGTGAGAGTTGATGGGAGTAGAGTCCAGTGAACTTTTGGGCCAACATCCCTACAGACATTGGCCATTCCTTGCGATTGTTGAATCTGTCTTCCAACCCGCTGCCTGCCTGAGCGAGGAGGGCGATGTTGGTGTTGCAATGGGTCGCCCCCTCGTCCATAATATTGCCATTCAAGGGTGCCGTCCACTAAGTTTTCATGTACAAGGGGGAGCTTGTTTATTCCACTGACGTTGTGTACTCAGGGTCTCCACGTTTTGGCATTGCGAAGCGAAGTATGATGCCAATGCAGTCTGAGCATGAACCCAAACCATCCATCGGGCGCCATTTTTGTTGGTAGATGGCAGCACTGACCTAATTTGGATTTGACCATCCCCTTTTTCTTTTCAGCTGCAACCTGCAGCTGTGGGGCTCCAAAAAGAAGGCAGGCCACGCCTTCGCCTTCGCCTCGATCCGAAGGCTACGTGCGGCATACCTCGCGCTTCCTTTCACTCTTCATGCTGACGACACTAGACAGCAGTCTGGCGACCTGCGCGCGAAAGCACGAAAGCGGAAGGGAGTCAGCACCTAGCTGGACTGCAAATGATCCCCATGACCAAAGCAAAGTATTCTGACTGCAGCAGCTATGCACAAACTCTGGCAAGTGCATTTGCTCACCTTGCGTGAGGTATCTTCTTCCACGGAACTTGGCGGACTCCCTCATGTTTGGATCAAACAGTTGGAGGAATGCAGTGCAACAGAGGGCCGTGTCGATGTTTTCTTAACTGCAACAGCTGAGGCTGCCCTTTGCCCTGGTGGATGTGCTGGGCCCGTACACTGTGCCAGTCACTTGCTCCCTGGCCAAAAACAAAACAAACAAAACCCCGCCGAAGGATTCTGCGTGGTATGGACTTCGGAGCCGTGGCAATTCCATCGCCTCTGGAGTGAACCCCGCAAGTGTGTGGGCACCTTTGGCAAATGAGACGTTCGGACCGGATTTTGCCACCAATTCTTGTTTTCGAACAGCTGGAGTGAGGTGGGCGGGAGATTTTCTTCTCGAGATGGCCTGGCACCTAAGACCCATGAGCCGAGGCTTCGCAAGCTGGGCGCTCTTTGGGATCTTCGAGATCGGGCTCGTCATTGAGGCAGGGCAGGGCTCGGGCCGCTCTGGCTCCTTGGGGCACATGGCTCCTTCGGCAGACATCTTTGGATTTACAACATATCAGAATCTGCAATCAATGTGTCAGAATCTGATATCGATGTCGATTTCTGAGTGGGCTTGGTATTGCAAATGCGGGGGACATATCAAGCCGACACATGTTGCTTGGGAGCGTCAATGACAGACCTGCTTACCCAACGGCTTGTTTTCAGTGGCTACTTTGAATTCAGACCACAACACTATCATTTGAAGTGGCACTTGTTGGTCTCAGACCTTGAAGTTGACCGTGGCATGTTTGTTAAACGTCAGATGGCGAATGGAAACATGCAACTTGATAGCATCACGGCCTTTGCGTGACATGGGCCGCGTGAGCCTTCGCATTGGAGCGGGGGCTTGGCCATTGATCAGCTGCCGGAGTGCCAGGGATTGGTAGAGAGGGTGGTAGGACCTCAGTCAAAACCGGCGGCGCTCCTTTTGCGGCTGGGGGCGGAGAGAGCGCTTCTGAGGGCAGGAACCCCCACCCAAGGACTCCAAGGCCAGAAATCTCGTTTGAGAGGCGGTCGAATACAGGTTTGTCAGCGGATCTGGCCAAAGGGGATGGTTGCTGCCGTCCAGCTTCGGGCTTCATTTAGGATTGGCTCAGAGCCATGCTCAGGACCCTTTTCAAGGAGTGCTGAAGGTGGAGGTCATTGCTGACACCTTGCAGGCGCGCCTCGCGGCTCTTGGTGTAGACGTGGCAGGCTAAACCCGCAGATGACCTCGCAGACAAAGGTCGTGTTTGAACGAGAAGACTTCGAGAACAAATATTCAGACTGGCCTTTGGAACGTGAGTGCTGTGAGTTGTCGGAATTGTGGCTTCGTCGTTTCCTGTGTGCCGCAGCATCCGGTGTTGCGTTTCTTGACCCCCAAGCCACGCTTCCACAACCCAGTAGTTTGGAGGAAGCCTGCTTGGCTTGCTTGCTGTTTGTTTCTTTCTAAAACCTCGATTGTGGGGGATTGCCCTTGGTGTTCCGTGTTCTTCCAACCAGTTTTGGGTTGCCTGAGCTTTTCCCAGTGAATCACTTCTGACGTTCCAGGGCACCATTTGCTCTTTTTTGCGTTTTTTTTGGTCGCCGGCGCCTTGTGATTTGGCTTTGCTTCCCTCCGGGCTCTTTGCTTCCCGCCTCCGGGCTCGGCAGCAAGCCGCCCGGCTGCTTTTCTTTGCCCGGAGGCGGACATCGAGGAGACCATCCGCAGCCTGGGCGCCGACGACTTGTTGGACGCCGGGGCGCTGGGTGTCTCAGCTTGCGATCAAGTCGGTGCCTGGTTTTGGTCGATGCGGTGCCAAGTTTTTTGCTTTGCCAGCAAGGTAACGGCATGTCTGTTGCGTTTCTTGGTGCGTAGTGAGACATGCAAGCGCCACTCAGCAGCCTCCGCTTTTCCTGTTTCGTCCCCATTTTTCGGGAGGCGTTTCTCCGGGTCGCTCGTGCAACTTCTCGCGGCTCCCGCGCAAATTCGTTCCGGGGATCGATCCGAGGCATGCCGAAGAAGCGCAGCGAGAAGAAGCGCAGCGACGCGTCCAGTGCTTTGACTCAAAAACGCCGGAGGAGATCTCTATCTCTGAGGGTTTTTGTATTATACCGTGGGATTCACCCGGTTTTATCCGGAAATGTTTCTAAATGGGGTCAATACCCAGTGGGTGTATTCTCAGGGTGTAAGACAAAAAACCTTAGACCATCGAACTGGACACGAAAGCGACTCATGCGACTCGTGACTTCTCGACTCGAGACCTGTGTACAACCCCCTGGTTCAGCAGGTTCCAGGATTCCGAGCGTTGCCTACAAGCGGAACAATCACGACAGCACATCGTTTGAAATGAGAAAGGATTCCTTGATCTGTACCGTCAGCCTTTGGGCCGCCATTTGGGCCTTCAAAAGAAAGTGAAAAACGAGGGAGCCACCTTCCCGTTTGGCCTGAGTGAGAGATCCCTCCTGAATGGCTTCAAGATGTTGCGCTCGGTTCATGGTTGGAAGTTCCCTAAGTTAGCGCGGCTGGACTGGAGCCTGAATCCGGGCTCTTTGAATGGGTGATATATTTTTTTCAACGCGTGAACACGGCCGGGGATTTTCGGTGCTTGAGTTGGGCCAATCCGATAGCAAGAACCGCCCTTTGCCGTCTTCTGCTTGTGTTGAGGCTGGGCGTCCTCGCAGACTCTGCCCTCCACCGGTGAAGAGATCTCAGCGCCTCGGGATGCTGGCTCCTTTTTGTTGTGCTTATGGACAGGTCTAGACATACCAGATCTGGCACATGAAGGTTTGTCAAAAGTAGCGGCCCCTTTTAAAAGCCGACACAAGGCGGCAGGTCCCAAGACGGGTCCATGTTTTGGACACCCCACATGCGCTTGACCTGCTCGAAGGGCGCATCCGGGGCGAAGCTTGGCCAAAATGAGTCTGGGCTCAGGTGGCCGTGGCTGGGGCACGGAGGGAGAGCGACTCCGAAGAGGAGGCCGTGTCGAGGGGGTTTGGCGGAACAGGCGTGGATCACTGCTTGCGCTTTCGGCGCATTGGGGTGGAAAGTGAGCAATCCTTGGCGCAAGATCGAATATATCGCTGTAGAAGAGATGGTGCAACAGCATGTCGTCACAGGCAGAAATCCCCAGATGAACCGGGCTCCAGTTCAGAGATGAGTGCAGAAGGAGGACCAAGAACCATTGAAGTTGTTTTGGACAGTTTTCAATCCAAGCAGCTGTAGCCATAGAGGTTCTTTACCCTGCTTGACCTGAAAGGCTTACGGCGGCCAATTCCGCAACCAATTCGTTTGTCTCGTCCAGTCGCTGGTCGGATGGTGCCTGACTGATGTCCTGTCCATTTCGCGGGCTCAGCTTCCGGGTCTCGTGTTCAAACGGCTCGCGCTTTTCGCTCGCCACTTGGCACATGGCGCCTTTTTCTTTTTCCCCAAGGGGCCAGGCTTGCAAATTTTCCCATTGACATCATACTTGCCAGCGGATCCTGCAAGTATTCACGATTGAGACCTTAAAGATCACAGGCTCTTTCCATCCGCAGAGGGTCCAAGTCCTGCGGATGGCTTTTGGGGGGTAAAAAGGGGTCGTTCAGTACCTCCTTAGATGCCAGGGGACCCTCCTTAGATGCCAGGTTCCATTTCGGTCCAAAATGGGTACCCTGGTAAATGGAAAGGACTTAAACCTAGGGTCTCCTGGTCCCTGGTGGTTAAATTTTGACCCATACCCATTTCGAGTTCTATGGGAGGAGCGGACGCCTGTCCCGGAGCCCTTGGAGGATCCAGCCCTCGACAAGCTCCAGAAGTTGCGGGACAGCCCGCTGGCTGGACAGCTGGGAGGTAGCCGGGCCTTGGGAGATGGAAGATTTGGCTCCAAGACTTCAAGTGGAGGCGTATATATACATATATACACATATATATATACATATATATATATATGTATATAAATACCTTCGTAATTGAAGCAAGAAGAACCATGTTTTGCGAGGTGCATTCATCACAGAGACCTTGGGGGGATCATGCATGGCAGATTGGGGGAATCTTGTGTTTCATCGGGATTACCATGTTTGTTGTTGTTCATGGACCGTCAACCTCCATCCAGGATTATAGTCACCATCGTCATCCATGTTCAGCGTTGTGTCGGTCGATCCACCCAGATTCAAGCGAAGGCCAAGAAGAGTACGCAGAGATGAGTCGACGCCCATGTCCTAGAAGCGATGAACAAGTAGCCCCGAGTGGGCTCTTGAAGGCCCCTCTCGCTGATTTCCTTTCGTTGTAAAGACTTAAGAGTTCTGGTTTCCAGCATGGAGCAACCATTCCCGAATTTCCCCTCTGCAGAGAATTCATGTTTGGAAGTGGGATGGGAAGCGCTCAGATTGGAGTGCCCCGGATCACGCTGAGGCAAGTCCCACCTGTTGCTGCAGATTTTCCAGTCCTACGATGTGAACGGAGACAAGGCCGCGTGCGTTTCTGGCTGGGACTGGCCAATTGCGGCAGACGAAGGGCTGTCAACAACAACAATGTGGCTGTTCTGGGGGGTACATGGGAGGGGTGGCCGCAAAACGGGCACACATGTGCTCGCCCGAGTGGCTGGACACTTGGCCTTGACAGGAAACTCGAATGGTTTTTGAACGGGATTCGTGTCTTCAGGTGTGGGTGCTCTGAACTCTGAACTCTGAACCGCTGGCGACGGTTGCGAGACGATAGGTGAACCGTCCTTCCTTGTGGCATGCCACTCACTATCCCAACCGACTATACACGCGCTGTTGAGGGGAGAGCCAAGTTGAGAATCTCACGTGCTGTTGAGCAGTTAGCCAGATCGGTTGGTCGTCAGTTGAAGGCATGTCTCCTTCAGCCGCAAGGCTTTTTGTGGGAACCATCCATGACAATCGAGTTCATGATGCCAGAAAGCTGGCAGTCGAACAGCTGGCTCAGTTGATCCACGGGTTTTCCTGGCGGCTCATGTTTGCGTGTGCCTCGACGCAGGCCATCGACAAGAGCGAGATGGAGAAGGCAGCGATGTCACAAGATCGGGCTGCCATGAGACTTATTCCCATGAAAATCGCAAGGACCCCCCCAAAGTGGGCGACTCTTGCTCCTCCTTCTCCTTCTCCTTCTCCTTCTCCTTCTCCTTCTCCTTCTCCTCCTCCTCCTCCTCCTCCTCCTCCTCGAATAATTGCTTTTCAGGTTCGTCAGCTTGTTTGGGAGTAAGAATCAGATGACAAATTGGGCTCCACGATGTGCAGCAAAGGCCGGTTGGGCAAGGCTTCATTGGCCGGATCCCGCTGTTGTTTGTGCCAGTATCAAAACACCGGAAGGTCGTCAAAGGGGCCAAACAAGTGTGTGGTGCATCTTTGGTGCCCACGCCCGTGCATATTCCACGTCGACTGTAAACTCTCGGCTCCCAAGCTCTATGTGAATTCACAGGGCTTCCCCAATGAAGCAGGTACAGGTTGCTGTACTTGAGCAAATGAGCATGGAAATGGTTTTGACCAAGCCAAGGAATTTCTAGGCAATTCCTCACACATGCGCGCCGTTTGGCAGGTGCTCCGAGACACCACTGACATGGAGTTCTCGGTGGATTGTGCCTTCTGCTGCAGGGTTTTGTTTCGGGAATGGGACGCAAATCCAGGCAGCTCGCGGAAAATCGGGCAAAGCACGCTGGAGTATCCACCCTGGCATTTGAAGACTCATAGACCAAAGATCGTGAGCTTTGTGGGATTGGAGGGTTTGTTGCTCCGGTGTGTGATGTTTGAGCATGTCTCCTTGCGGAGAAGACTGTTCAAGACCCATGAAAGCGCAACGCATTTTAGAGCCAAAACAAACCAAAGAGCATCGCCCTCGAGGAGTACCCGTGATCTTTTTCTGACTTCAAGCATGTTTCGGCTGGCCCACGCAGGTTTGCAAGCCATATTTTCGGAGAGGTACTTAGAAGTTGTCCGCGCAAATTTACAGATCATCGGGGTCTCGAGGGGAGCAACGGGCGGGATGTGCAAGCAGATGGGCAACGGGCTTCGAGGTTCGAGGTACCAGAACTGACCAAGGCAGATGGATTCGACTGGTTTGGAGGTGATTGAACGCTGCTTGAAGACATGGAGATAAGATTCATAGATTTTACAAGTTTTCAAGCGGCGAGGAAAGCACAGGTGCCAGTCAATAGGCGAGCAAGCTCAGCAAGCATGATACGTAATGTGTTCAGATCTTAACTTTTGACTCTCCATGCCAGAGTCTTAAACTTTCCATGCAAGATTGGCCACTAGGTCGGACCCCAGCCAAGATGGCCAAGACTCGCCGTCCGAGCAACGTGACTGCGGAAGCGCTAGCAAACATGCAAACATAAGGAAAGGATGTGGCAACTTGAGACGTGCAGGTTTTCATTTCACATGCCTTGATCTATGAGACCGCACAATACCTGGAACACAAAGGCTCAAAAGCACTTGTGCTGTCCAATTTGACTTCTCCGGTCCCTATCGCAGCAAACAAAACTCGTCAGCGTGTGCAAAAAGAGCCTTAAGCAGGTAAGTTTAGATCCAGCCGGCCATTTTTCCTGCTCATTTTCGGGCCTGATCTGACTGATCTGACTGATCTGACTGATCTGACTGGGAAGAACTGCCCTTGGTGAACGGAGCGAGCTCGAGCCGCTTGGGCCGAGGGCTGGACACCATCTTCGAGGAGGCGGATGCGGACAAGGACGGGTACCTGACGCAGGCGCGGCACACACAGACACAAACGCAAACACAAACACCCAAACAAACAAGCAAGCACATACACGCAAACAAAAAAACACACACATACACAAAAACACACAAACACAAGCACACAAACACAAACACACAAACACATACACGCAAAGACATACACACAAACACAAAAACACAGACACAAAGAGCCGCTGAAAGGTTTGGTTGGAGGCCCGAGTTCCTGGCAGCCACCCGACCAAAGCCGACCCGAGCTGGCCGTGCCAGATCACCAGCTTGGGAGTTGTGAACCTCTCTAATCGCTTCGAAGCTGTGACGCGGGGGAAAATGAAACATGAGCAAAGCTAAAGCCCATCGACCAAACGCAAGGTCCCAAGTCCACGGAACATCATCCAACCGGTGTTTTGTTCTTGGTTCGCTTGATTGTAAGTGCTTCGGATCATTCACACCGCGCGTACTTGAGCATCGCTCGTACGTGTGCGCTGAACAATGGCTTCAGACCATTGTTCTGGTAGCTACATGGCTTTGGAAGACCCTTGAAAACCGGAGCTTTACTCCTTTTAGCCAACTCCGTCGCGACAGCCATTGTGGCAGAATAGCCGATGCACTGCGCATCGCTTGTACCCCACCCTTAGCAAGCAAAGCGCCTAGTCGACCCTGGGTTTGTGCAAATATGAATGGCGGCACAATTCTGTTTGATTGTTGGGCCAGCAGCCATGAGGTTGAAGCACGTTCGGTCAGCGGAATACCGCAAGCGCATGCGCACCCTCAATCGTTGCTTTCAAACTTGCTCGAACCTTGGATGTCCTTGTTGTTGATAGTGGCTGCGGTGGCGGCGGTTGTGCAGCGTCTTCTCCCGGAATCTTTGCTGATGTCTGCCAGAGCACGCTGAACTTTTTGGACATGACCTCAAAACAAGAGCAAGCAGCAACAGTTTCTTTTTCTTCTTCCAAGCACTTCAGTGTGGTTCTGGAAACCCATGGGATTGCAACCAAAAGGAGCTTTTTGCTTTTTCAGTGGACGTTGCCTGCGTTCGTGGTATGTTCCGGACAAGCCAGCTTCTCCGTCGCAGGCGGAGTGGTGCAGTTGGGCCGAGAGCTGCTTCGAGCGCGCGGAGATCGCGGACCTGGTGCTGAGGCGTCCAGTTCGATCCGGGGCGGATCCGGGATCCGCGGTTTTGGTTTGGTTGTTGTACCTCGCTTGAGGCACCCTGGCGCTTTTTTGTTGGGTGCCCTGTGGGATGAACCACTAATTGGTTTAATTGAGGAAACACCCATTCTCGCTTCCTGCGTCCTGATTGTTGGGGTTTGCTTTGTCCATGTGCAACTTGTTCACAACGAACAGGCCTCCGCGAACGGAAGTGGAGCGAAGCTGCTTGAGAGTGCCATTGGCTCGTTTTCCCGCCTGCACCGAGTTATGGCCGCGTCAGGATGCCCTCCTCCCCGTTGCTGCCAGCAGACACCCAGGACGACACCTGGGAGCCTTGGCTCAATGTTCGCGCGGGGCGCGAGGAAGGGTATGGCTGTTGTCTTGTTAACTTGCTTGTTCGCTCGCTCGCTCGCTCGCTCGCTTGCTTTGATCGATTGCATGCTTGCTTGGTTGCTTGCTTGGTTGCTTGCTTGCTCGCTTGCTCGCTTGCTCGCTCGCTCTCTCGCTTGCTTTGATCGATTGCTCGCTCGCTCGCTCGCTCGCTTACTTGCTTTGATCGATCGCATGCTTGCTTGCTTGCTTGCTCGCTCGCTCGCTCGCTCGCTTGCTTTGATCGATTGCATGCTTCCTTGCTTGCCGGCTCGCTCGCTCGCTCGCTTTGATCGATCGCATGCTTGCTTGCATGCTTTCTTGCTGGCTTGCTTGCTCGCTCGCTCGCTCGCTTGCTTGCTTTGATCGTTTGCATGCTTGTTTGTTTGGTTTGCTCGATTGCATGCTTGCTTGCTTGCTTGCTTGCTTGCTCGCTCGCTCGCTCGCTCGCTTGCTTTGATCGATTGCATGCTTGCTTGCTCTCTTGCTTGCTTGCTTTGATAGATTGCATGCTTGCTTGCTTGCTTGCTTGCTTGCTCGCTCGCTCGCTCGCTCGCTCGCTTGCTTGCTTGCTTGCTCGCTCGCTGGCTCGCTTGCTTGCTTGCTTTGATCGATTGCATGCTTGCTTGCTTGCTTGCTTGCTTGCTTGCTTGCTTGTTTGCTGGCTCACTCGCTGGCTCGCCCGCTCGCTTGCTCGCTTGCTTGCTTTGATCGATTGCATGGTTGCTTGCTTGCTTGCTTGCTTGCTTGCTCGCTCGCTCGCTCGCTCGCTCGCTGGCTGGCTTACTTGCTTTGATCGATCGCATGCTTGCTTGCTTTCTTGCTTGCTTGCTTGCTTGCTTGCTTGCTTGCTTTGATCGATTGCATGCTTACTTGCTTGCTTGCTTGCTTGCTTGCTTGCTTGCTTGCTTGCTTGCTTGCTTGCTTGCTTTGGTCGATTGCATGCATGCTTGCTTGCTTGCTCGCTT